ATATGGACCCTGAATCGTCGGTGCCATGATGTTTGGTTTGCTCGTCTGTGGGCTTGGTGGGCCGTTGCAGCCTCCGGGCCCGGGCCCCCTTGATTTGGTGCTTTGTGTGCCTTGTCGTTTTCTTTCTTGTTTTCTTCTGGGCTTTGGCCCAATCTTTAAAAGAAAAAAAATTCCAGAGGTCTTATAAAATTCGCCACCAACAACAGTGAGGTAAAAGAAGGTTCCACCGAGATTTGAACTCGGGTTACTGGATTCAGAGTCCAATGTCCTGACCACTAGACCATGGAACCATAAGATACTTTTGAGGATTATTAATCCTACCTATTTAATATAACTTTACCAAAATTTCAACCAATGAAAACCAATATCTTAATAACCAAACCAGATGTCTAACCGGATAACTGTTGAGGTAGAATGGTCCAACCATTCCGTTCACCGAGTGAATGTAACAATAAAACCCCTGAAAAGCAATCAGCTGTTGACTGAGGTCAATAGCAGATGGGATCATGGGAATTTGAAAACATTGTTGAAAAGATGGGCATTATTAATTCTATTAGACGGATAGAATCATCCAATGGAAGAACTGATCCCAGACTCCGAGTGCATCCAGATTGTGCCCCCTGTGGTGACGAAGCTGAGACGACTGACACCTATTATGGTATTGCCCAGTGGACTGGAAAGGCTGAATGGTTCGGCTCCCCTAATCCCTACGGCCAATTAGTATTGATGTTGTCTGTGCCAACCAGAACCAGGTACCTCGGCAGCTGCATTGAAGCTTCGCTCCACATAGAAGTGGAGTGGGTGATTGATAGAGCTGAGCAGCCCAGCCCGGTTCGTGTAAGCCTTGGCCCCAGCTCACATTGGGATGTTGTTGAAATGTCCGGATGGGCTAGAGATTAGACCTGTTAACTGTTAAGGATCGAGCCAGGCGGGGCTTTGCTTCTTTATTAACAGAACATGTTCGGGCCTAAGCCTAAGCTTGGCCCGATCATCAGGCCTAGATCTTGATAACCCCGAATCCGGCCTTTATAAATTTCAAAGCTTGCACCTGAGTCCAAAACTTGACCTAAAAATTGGTCAAAATGATATTTTTATTTTTTTTTCTTGAAAATAAAATTGATTTATTTACATTAAACTCCCTCAAAGACCAAAAATACCAAACGATTTCACTATGGCTTGAGAAAAGAGAAGAGGAACAAAGGAAAAAGGTATAGCATCTTTTTTATTATATAAAATATTATTAGATCAGGCTTGGGTTCAGACCGGACTTATTTAAAAAAGTCTGAGCCCAGCCCAAAAAAAAATGGGCTTAGTGTTTTAGGCAAGAACCCAAGCTCATGGGCCTAACAACATATCCAAGCCTGAGAAATAACAAGCCAGGCCAAGAAGGCCCTTTGAGTTACTTGGTTATGAACAAGTTTTCTAGATACAAAGTCATGCACAATGGGCTAGGCAACCTATCAAGAATGAACATGCCACTATCCGGTTTCTCAGCTGAATAGTGGGATGGTCATTTTAGGAGGGGTAGCAATGCGCCAGGTTCATGCATACCCAAGCCTAGATCATATTAGAGGCATCACCCTGGGTCTTGGAGGGTATGGGTCCCATATGACAGAGGTAGACCTATTCACAGGCCGGGCCAGGCCAGGTTCGGGCTGGGCTGTCTCTACATTAACAGAATATGCTCAAGCCCGAGCTTGAGCCCAGCCTGATCATCGGGCCTTGGTCTTGAATCCAAGCCCGGCCTGATTATAAAGACCGAAACCTGGGCCTGAGACCGAGCCCAGCCAGAAATATGAAAAAATGAATTTTTTCTTTTTAAGTCAATTAAAATTTATTCTATTTATATTTAAAGATCTCAAAACCTAAAAAATAATGGAAAGTCCCATTATTACTTGAAAAAAGAGAAAAAATATATTATATATGTTTTTTTATTAATTAAAATATATTTTTATTATATAGTACACTATCAAATTGGACTTGGGTTCAGCCTTGGGCCGATCTTTTTTAAGAAAGCTCGAGCCCGGTTTGAAAAAAAGTCAGGCCCAATATTTTAGGTCCAAACCTGAGCCCACAGGCCTGAAATCCTCCTGTTCAAACCCGATTTAGATCAGGCTGGGCCAAGCTAGCCTATCAGGCTACCCGGCCCATGAACAGGCCTAGACAGAGGAAGTTCTGGACAGGTACCATTGGAAAAACAAAAGCCCGAACTCATTCGCATATACACAAATCTGAAGTTTATATGAAATCCCGAAATATGAATTCTATGTGAAATTTCAAAAGAAGTTTGTTCCATCATAAAGAATGGGTTGGGCTTCTGAAACGTATTTCTTTGATCAATATAGCAAACTGAGGTTGTTTATATCGAAAAAGCACCATATCTTAAAAATGCATGTGTGGGAAGTTTGTTTACATAAATGTCAATAAACGACATTGATAATAAGTGTGATAGTTGAAGTGACTCTCATGATTGATGTGATAATATATATCTCTCATCAATTTATATTGTTTAACCCAAAATATTTCAGGTTGAAATAGCAATTTTATTTACCAATACAATCTTTTAAAGTATCTTAATATTCTTTTAAGAGTTTGAAGAAATTTTAGGCTGTGTTTGATTTGAAGGAAAAGATAGTGAAAGGAAAGAGACCTGTACAAACGTATAGGTTTTCTTTCTTTTCCTTACCTTTTCCTTCAAATCAAACACACCCTTAAGAAACTTAAGAAACAAGAGATTCTTTTAAATGTAAACTCTCACGTATAAGAAACAGGTTCATCACTCAAATCAAATGCAACTCGTAGTTTATTAATGAATTCATCTTCTCCAATCTTTTGTTGTTAACATTATGAATACTAGCAAAACTTGAACTTGCATGAATTACTATGTTGCGTAAGAGTTGATGGATCTCCTTTCTTGCATAATCTTAGGTATCCTTTGTCAAGTATTTTTAGTAAGATCTTCTGATAGATTAAATGGCCAAAAGATCTAAGGAGCTTTTTGGGTCTTATCTTAAAAATATAACAAGTCAAAATTAATTAAAACTCTCATGGGTCTTCATTGTTTATCATAAAATTCATATTTATTCTCTAATTAATAAGATCATTCTTAAATCTCTCTCTCCCTCTCTCTCACCCATCCACCTTAATAGTCAGGGGGAGTCAGGAGTGGCAAAGGGGGGCCGTGGCCCCCCCTATGCCTTGAAAATCCCTACACTACCCATTTTAACTTTACCTATATTTTGGTCCCCCTACTTATATTATTAAATTTTGCCCCCTATCAATGTTTATTATATTTTGGCCCCCCTCAAAAGAAAATCCTAGCTCTGCCCCTGTTAATAGTTAATGTTTGTAATATTTCCCCTCCTCATTAAATCATTCTTTTCTTCTTAAATCTTTCTTACTTAATCCCTTTGGCTCTCTAATAAAGTAGGAAAGTAAATTAGATGGAGATTGGCTTAGGTTAAGGGCCAACTCTTTGGATCACCCCTTGTCGGATCCGAAAAGATCAAATCCGATGTGTTATATATTTATAAATATAAATATATATAATACATATATATTATTTATTTATTTATAAACATATTATTTATATTGTATTTTTATAAATTTGTTATATTATTTATTTTTTTATAAACAACATGTATATATATGTTTAAAATAATTAAAAAATACTTATATTTTTGTTTTTTCTTTATTTAAATTGGTATATTTTATTTTTTATTTTAATAATTTATTAGTTTTTAAAGAAAACAAGTTAGATCAAATTAGATCTGAAAATTCGATAGGGTTCAAATTCAGATGGAATCCTATCAGATCCGATAGGATCATTGGATCGGATTAGACCCGACATGTCAATGTTGGATCGGATTCAAATATAAACTGATTCGAATCCAATCCAATCTGTTTGCATCCCTAGCTAAGCTGACCCAAATTAATGTCAAAATCCAAAATTCCCCACCCAATACATGGGGTGAACCATTCTTCTTCTATAAGTCTAAAGAAACCATTTCTCTGTTATTAGGATTTTCTTTCTTTTTTTTATTAATTTAATGTGAGCCTTTAGTTATCTTTCTCAAATTAATTTTAAATTTGGGATTTTTGGGCTGCAATCCCCCTCACAAATCTGACTTGCAGCCCCCTCCTAGTCTTCTAGTACCCCCCTCCTATAAACCGCATCCTGCCCATGGATTTGGCATCAATCCACGGTCAGGATTCAGTCCACCCCTAGAGTGGAGCTCTAGATTTCTAGGGGTGGATTGAACTGTAAAAACCCCTTTAATTTTTTTTTTTAACTTGATTAGTGATAAGCATATTTTTTTTTTGGTTTATAGGGCTAGACAAAGGGGGATAGCCCATTTGCTAAACCCTTAACCCCAACCTTAGTGGTAGTTGAATTTGATCCAAGTCCCACTACAACTAGATAACCTACCAACAGAGCCATCATTGGTTGGTTTCATGCTAAGCAGTTGATTTATGTATTTCTCACAAAATATAACTTATATGAAAAGGAATAAATGTGAAGTTAAATAACTAAAAAAGAAAAGAAAATTATTTTTCTTCTATTTTATATCTAAAAACTAAAAATATATAAAAATTTTACTGAATATTTTTTACTTCATTTTTCCATAAAAGTACATTTTTAATCAGCAGCCCACACGTCACCGCTAGTTCATAATATGTAGGGAAATCCGACTCGAGCTGATCCGATCCGTTTATAACTGATTTGTTTGATTTGATAAAGAGTAAACCAAACAAAGCCTAAACCCAACAATTGATCATTAGATTATTTCTTGTATCTTGCCACGTGTAAAACCAACCCAAGATTCCCTGCATATTTACCTCTTTTTCTCGGCTATAAGACCCGAAAACAACATAATGCAATGTCATTCTTAAGCCTTTACAAAAGTATAATTACAAGATCAATTGCCTAATATTTTCGTTATTTTGGAAATAAATATGGGCATTATCATAATTGAAATTCTTATCTAAATATTTTATCCGGACTTAAGATCGTTCGACACTGGAAGGACACCGACTTCCGGTCTCACTCTCTCAGGTCTCCATAGTCTTGAGGTGGACCTCAACTGCTAATTGAGAGTTGCAGACTCAGAGAGAGAGAGAGAGAGAGAGAGATGAGCAGCGATTCGAAAGTAGAGACGATCTCGAGACTTGCTCAGTGGAAGATAGAGAACTTTGGTCCATGTTCTTACAGACGGTCTGACCTTTTCAAGGTCGGAATTTGGAACTGGTAATACCCTTCTTCCTTGTATAATTCTCCATGAAACCCCCTTTCTTTTTCTTTAGTCTAGTTTGATTCTTCTGAATTCACCCGATTGTGCTTGAATTCCGAAATATTCACCTGATTCGTTCCTCTTTCCATTGAAATACAGGCACTTGTCGATAGAGAAGAATCGCTATCTCTACATTCGTCTCTTTCCAGAGCCTTGTCGGGTCGCTAAAGAACAACCTCCCATAGCTAGATTTGTTCTCCGAGTATCCAATGTTGGCGCTAGTCGTCGCCCTTATATCTCGCCAAGTATTTATTCTAATTTCGTTTTTTTTCGCTGCAAATTCTAATTTCGTTATTATTTTGTATTTGAGCGTTCGTTTATTAATTCCTGTTCTATTTCCGTTTCAAGAATCTACTCAATTATCAAAGAACGGTATAACTAAACTTCAATTATCTGTTTGATGCTTTTCACATGATGTAGTGAACTAGATGCAGGATCAGACAAATCAGAAATGTGTTCATGAACTAGTCCAATTTGCATAATTTAATTGATTTCAAATGCGACAATTGAATTGATCTAATTGATTGCTTCAGTGCGGCTTCATAAATAAAAAAAAAAAATGATAACTCCAGTGCTTCTTATTGTGAAATTTCAGTGTTAATGCTAGTCAAGTATCAGTTGTTGTACGGTAGATGATACGTTATTTCTTATTCCGTTTCTTAAATTCCAAATTTGGCTTTGTTCTGTTTCCCTTATGCTTTTTTCTTCCTTCTTTTTTTATCAAGGCCGTGAAGGAGCCAAATGTTAATTTTCTTTTGTATTTTCCCTTTTTATTTCATTCTTTGCTAGGACTCAGAAACAGAAAAATGGAACGTTATAATAAGTTGTGCTTTTTAATGCTGTGAAGCATAACATGATCATCCATAAGATCTTATGCTGTTTTTGACCATTGGTGGTGGAGCATTTGTATGGAGTTTGGTGATGTATTTTTTGAATTTATGGCAGTTGCTGGAAATAAGGTTCTCAGTCTTAAACCTGTCTATGGGGTCAACAAAGAATATTCTCTATGAATTTGGAAACATGGAAATCTCCTCAATCTTCTCATAGGGCAAGCTCTACATTTTGTTTCAACAGGTTTTCTTCCATTCTTCAGTTAACCTTGAATTTTATCCAACTTGATGAAGAGTTATTTTCTATAAAACACAGTGGCAATACCCAGTCCATGGAACCCATCCAACCCAGCCACTTGTATCCTTACCACCCATTTATTTGGTTGATTGTATATGGGTTGACAACCCATTTGCAACATGTTTAGATGGGTTGGTTGGTTTGGACCATGGGAACCCATTGTTTGCCCTCCCACATCCTGCCTCTGCCCATCTTGTCTTCCCCCTCTTTCTCCCCAAGTCCCCAACTAGAGAAAGAGCTGTTGGTTTCCACTCACCACCCCAACCATATTCCTCTTCTTCTTTCAATGATCTCATTACATATTTGTCTCAAGCATTTTTGGCATTAACATTGTCCAAGTCATCAAGAAAGTCATTTGAATTGTTGCTAGTGGACTCATCATGAGCTTACATGGTGCATCCTTTTGAGCTATTCCTCTCATTTTGCTTGGGCCTTTGAACATGAGTACATGACTAACCAAATGAAGTATTACTCATGACAATGGCAAGTCAACATCAATGGGGAGCTTGGATGACAAGGTTATGAAAGGAGTTTTTGGCGTTTGTTGAGATGGAGGCATTGATGTGTGCTATTGTTCTTGGGGAGGAATGCTTGACAGAAGATGGAGAAGAGGGGATTTGGGTTCATACTGTTACCAGGATTTAATGTTGCTTTGTTTAACTTCATTATGTTATGGTACAATTGTAAAACTACTAAAACTGCAGTCAGCATGGTAGACAGTAAGGGGCATAGGGGGAATTATGTAACTATAAATGCTTGTAGACTGTATGTGTATGGTTTTCTGTAGCTAACCATTTTAGAAGGAAGTCAATTTGGGGTGGATAGGATTGAGTTGCAATCCATGTAGTTAAGTGTAGTTGAGTTGCAATCCAAGACACCAAATTGGTACCTGTGTTATCATTTATAAACCCTCAATTTCTATGTCAATTGTTAGGTACTCTATAGGAGAAAAAATACATTTATTCATGCAACAAAGCTTATTGAATTAAAAAATGGACCATTACCTAATACTGTTGATTCTGGCTATCCAGGGTTTTGGGAGGGGTGTACTGGATAGGAACCTAACCCTGGTTGTTTTCTTTGTTTGCATGAAATGGCTGTTCTCAGTGTGAGACCCGTGTTTTCATGCTTGTCAGCTCAATATTTTATCATCACACTAAGCAATAGTCCTAATTGAACTTACTGCAATCTGCATGTTCCATCTTAGAAATTGATCAACTTCAAGATGATCTTCTGTATACTTGCCAGTATTTATGGGTGCTCACTGACACACTATTTACCTGGTGTTGCAGTTCATGAGAGGCTGCTTCGGACCAGTGAAGACTTTGTGTGGCCTGTTGATTCTACCATTCATGGCCGATTTATTATTGATGTTGAATTTCTGGACCTGAAGATTTGTCCCTTAAATGTTAGTGTTTTTTTGATAATCATGTTTTACATTCTGATAGGCACTATTGTCACATTTTCTCATGTTTAAAACCATTTATAACATACCATATTGAAATTCAGGGTGGGGAAGCCTATTCTATATGGCCTAGTGAAGGAACAATGCAGAACCTTGCAACCCAAAGTACCCTGAGATGCCTCTCCCGTATGCTCGATGAAGTTATCCATGCAGATATAACCATCAATACAGCTGATGGAACTCTGAGAGCTCACAAGGCAATTCTGTCAGCAAGTTCTCCTGTGTTCCAGAGCATGTTCTTGCACAACCTCAAGGAGAAAGAGTCCTCAACAATTGATATAGAGGACATGTCACTAGAGTCCTGCACAGCCCTACTTAGTTACTTGTATGGGACCATAAAACAAGAAGATTTCTGGAAGCACCGGCTTGCGCTGTTGGGGGCAGCAAACAAGTATGACATTACAGACCTAAAAGAAGCTTGTGAAGAAAGCCTCTTGGAGGATATTAATTCGAGCAATGTCCTTGAGAGGTTGCAAGAGGCCTGGCTGTACCAATTGAACAAGCTGAAGAAAGGATGCATGACGTACTTGTTTGATTTTGGAAAAATATATGATGTCAGAGATGAAATAAGTAGCTTTTTCCGCCATGCTGACAGGGAACTGGTGGTGGAGATGTTTCAGGAGGTTCTAAACGCGTGGAAGCCTGCATAACTCCTGCTTTGCCAAATTAGTTATAAGTTACTATCAATGCATGCATGCATGTATACATCCTTGTAATTTTGTCAGGTATGTTAAACTTCTTAGTCCCAGAAGGATAAAAGTAGCCGTGAGAGTATTTAGATTGTGTACGAGGTATGTGCTTTTCTCATTGTTGCTGCACACTGGTATCAGTTTCCGGGATGTACTAAATTGCAGTCTATTATCCAAGTTAATGAGATAAGTTTGGAAGATTCTAGTTGTGCAGTTCAAATTTGGTGTTGATTTGTAGACTCCATGAAACATTGGTTACCAAGTCATCTAGCAAATGTTACTATATCATATTCCAACGAGCTGCATCAGGGATTTCAACTCCCCTGAAAGAAGAAAGAAAAAGAAGAAATAATTGCTTCTTGGAAGGGGAAAGGGATATAGCAGTAGAGATTATTTTATGATTTTGTGCTAAATTTCCAATAGAAATATGAACAGGCTAAAGATGGAAATTTCTAGAGAAAACTTGGTAATTTACATCTTGTGAACACATCGGAACCGTTGGATTAGTCTCTGCAACACAGAATTCAGAGGAGTTGTGGGTTCAAAAACTTAAGGAGGCGTTCTTTTTTTTTTTGGATTTTGAGAGGGGGTAAGGTTGGTCAATGGGATTTTAATTCCCATTGACCAAGAAACCCATATTCATTTTTCAGATTTATGTGGGGACCAATGAAAGTTTATTTTCCTGGATATCACTTAAGTGATATCCATCTTGTAGGTGGGTAAATTAACTTTTTCATTTAGGGGAAAGTTGCCAATACTTGGATGAGACAAAAATTCTCTTTTTAATAATGAAATTTTTATGGGTAAAATGGTCATTGCCTTATTTACATGAGAAATAAAAAAACATGAGTAAATGCACTTACCAGGTAAGTGACTTAACGAACGGAGCATAAAAGTTTAATGTTGCCATGTTAGAAATTATTGGAGCTTTCCTCATCTCTTTGCAATACTTGGTTGGAGTATGGGGGTTCCGAGGTGGGGGATGGAAGAAAAATCAGTATATGGGACGACCCGTGGCTACAAAGTTAGGAGAACCCAAGAAAATGCTGTATATACCAATGCAAAGAAATCGTCTGCTAAAACTATTTCTTTGAGCATTTTTTTCACTATGAGGATGCAACCTATCTTCGTGCTGTCTCAAAACTAGGCAATTTCTTTTTGAAATCGGCATGCTTTGTCGTAGCAAAGATGTGAAAAATAGAAACATAAGGAATAGGACTTATTGCTTCCTTGTTCCTGGTTTTAAGCACAAAATCATGAGGCATCTCTTGGTGTGATCAACCTCATTCTAACACCTCGGATCTTATTTTGTTTAGTTACCGGGATATGCACTTTCAAGGCAGTTGCTGATTAGAGTATTCTTAATTCGAAGGGAATCACTAACATATCTAGAGCTATAAATGGATTGGGTTATGGTTCTGTGGTTATGTTCCCTGATTAATGATTGGGTTAGGACTGGTTCTTTTTGTTCAAAACCGATTAAGACCTAAACTGATTGTATAGTTAATGGAACCATTGCGCTTTGGCCTGGTAACTTTTTTAACTAAAAATATAGATGTTTTTGCTTGGTCAACAATAGAAATGCCTGATATAGATTCCTCTGTCATAATTAACTCATAGACTAAGTGTTGACCCTTTAGTCAGACCAGTCCAACAGAGGAAGAGGAACCTTGCCCAGGAGCGGTGGAGGATAGTAGACAAGAAGGTCAGGAGCTCCTCGTAGTAAACTTTGTTATAGAGGTCCAATACTCGAGCTAAATTACCAACCCAGTGCTCGTGAAGAAAGCCAATGGCAAGTGGCACATGTGCGTTGACTACACTGACCTTAACTGAGCCTACCGAAAGGACAATTTCCCACTCCCTAGAATTGACTGCCTGGTAGACACGACCTCGGGGTTCGAGCTATTGAGCTTCATGGATGCATACTCCGACTACAACCAAATCCATATGGATCCAGCTGATGAAGAAAAGACTGCTTTTGTAACTGAGATGGGCTTCTATTATTATAAAGTTATGCCCTTTGGTTTAAAAAACGCTAGAGCGACCTACCGGCGCTTTCCGTTCTTCAAGGCCATAATAAAGAACCAAGAATTCGAGTGGACTGAAGAGTGCCAGCTCGCATATGACGAGCTCAAGAAGTACCTCAGTTCGTCACCTTTGTTAACCATGTCGGAACCCGGGTACGAGCTCAAACTCTACCTCTCTATGAGTGACGAGGTAGTCAGCTTGGTCCTAATCCAAGAGGTAGACAGAGTGTAGCGACCTATCTACTACAATGTTTTAAAAAACGACTCGAAACCAGAATTGTTTTGGCCATCGGTTTCTGGGTCGATGGTTCAACCATTCAGTTTGAATGGACGACCCATTATGACAAAATAAATTAAAAAAATAAACAAAAATAATTAAAATCTAAAAATGGCCAAAAACCATTGAACGGGTCGATGATTCGTTGACCGATTCAACGATTTTTGGCTAGGGACCGGGTTTGGGGTAAAATGGAACCGGTTGCTTGGACGGTTCTTGGGCCGAACAAGTTTGGCTGTCCAAGTCAATGACGGTTTGAAAACCATGGTCTTCTATATGAGTAAAGTCTTGCACTTCACGGAGACCAGGTACCCAAACATCGAGAAGCTGGCCTTTTCACTGGTACTAGTAGCCCGAATGTTGCGTCCTTACTTTCAGGCCCATACCGTCGTGGTCTTAATCTATCAACCCCTAAAGCAAGTCCTCTAGAAGCCCAAGGTCTCAGGTAGGTTTACAAAATGGGCAATTGAGCTCAGTGAATACAACATCCGGTTCAAGCTGCACCTAGCAGTCAAGGCGCAGATTTTGGCTGACTTTGTTGCCGAGTGCATGTTCAACACGCCAACCCCTAAAGTTGCTGAGCTTGTGACCACCTTGGAGGCATCAATCAATGTGGCACCCGACCTGACTTGGGACAAGGAGCCCTCGATCCTCCATGTAGATGGCTCGTCTAACCAACGTAGGAGCGGAGTTGAATTGATACACTATAGACCTAGCGAGGTGAAGCAGGAGTATGCTCTCCATTTTGCGTTCTGAGCATCAAACAATGAAGTTGAGTACGAGGTGCTGATAACCAAGCTATCACTGGCGAAGAAGGTTGCCGTGAAACATCTCATTTTGTGCAACGACTCGCAGCTAGTGGTGAATCAAGTGAATGGGCAGTATGAGGCCTGGGAGCCCGCCACGTTGGCCTACCTGGCCAACATTAGGGAGATCCTGCCTAACTTCCACTCTTGGTACATCCAATAAGTGTCGACGTCCAATAAAATTGAAGCCGATGCGCTCTCAAAGCTGGTTAGTGTGACAGACACTACAAAGAGAATGGTCTACATTGAAGACCTGCCATGACCTAGCATAGAATGGGTTGGAGAAGAGGTCACTCCTATTTTGGCTACAGAGTCGAGTTGGATGGATCTGCTCATTGACTATCTACGCCATGGGACCCTACCTATAGAGTGTAATACAGCTCGGAGGGTGGAGGGACAATCAGTTCACTATGTAATCATAGGCGAGCAACTGTATCGCAAATTATTCATGCTCCCTTACCTATGCTACTTGCGCCTAACTAAAGTGAGCCAGGTGCTACGCGAGATCCATGAAGGTCTTTACGGAGGACACTTGGGGGGTAGGGTGCTCGCCCAGAAGGCTCTACAACAAGGCTATTATTGGCCTACGATGAAGACAAACACAATGGAATTAGTTCGGAAGGGTGACAAGTGCCAGTGGCATGCCAACATACCACACTAGTCTGCTGCCGACCTGAGGTATCTTACTAGCCCATGGCCATTTGCACAGTAGGGAATGGATGTCCTTGGTCCCTTTCTACATACGACTGGGCAGAGGATGTTCTTGGTTGTCGTGGTTGACTACTTTGTGAAGTGAGTGAAAGCTGAGCCATTGGTATCCATCACAGCTTGGAATGTGCAGAACCTTTTCTAGAAGAGCATCGTCTGCAGATTCAGACTTCCCAAGGTACTGATTTCTGTTAGACAGTTTTGTATAACCTTAGCTTCAATCAGAATGATGTACTTTATGAGTTTATTGTAAATGAATAAAAGTGCATATTTGATTCATGTTCCCTTGGTATGTTTCTGTGTAATA